TAGCTCTGCGGACTGACTCAATACGCGAGTGAGACTGCAGTATATATTTAACTCTCAATAACTAACTACTCATTTACGTCGATACCTATGATATATACAATCGCTATTAATAATTGCAATCATTTTTAAACACACCACCTATTCATATGTTGTGTGTGTGTGTGTGTGTGTGTGTGTGTATGTGTATGTATGTGTGTAATCGCTGGTGTGACACATATTCTCTATGTATATAAAAGTTTGCATAAAGTTATTGAAACTTAAATTACAGGTAAACGTAAACGACATAAACACTTGTTATTCTGCACTCCATTTACGTAAATCAAGTCTAAAGATAGAGTCGACTATTTTATAGTATTTTTTCTGCAATTTTCATATCTATTTCCAATCAAAGGATGAAAACAAAATTTTTTCTTCGCTTTAAAAAATCTGACGTAAGATTCAATAAGTAGTACTTTTCTACTAATTTATAAGATATACGACTGTATTATAAGAGAGATTATATGATTTTGAGACAACACTTACCGCTGAGGAAATCAAGTGAACAACAGATGAATTGATTAGTAATTCGCACCTCATTTCTGGCACTAAATATTTATAAGATATACGACTGTATTATAAGAGAGATTATATGATTTTGAGACAACACTTACCGCTGAGGAAATCAAGTGAACAACAGATGAATTGATTAGTAATTCGCACCTCATTTCTGGCACTAAACAACGGAAAGCAACATTCTTTACGGTGTTTAATAAGCGATAAGAGACAAAATACCGATATTAATGTGATAGTCAGTGAGCTAAGGGACAATTGTAATAATGTGACGTTAAATGGTTGTCTATATGTGCAGAATTGTATGAATAATATACACACAAAACCAATGACACAAACACTACAATCGCTGGAGTATAGGCACACAGTCTGCCAAACGAGAAACACAATTAAAATATTTTATTTGTATTTATGTTATATTATGTTATTATGAATTTTTCAAATGAAAAAAATGTTTTTATCGATTAGTAATTTTCAATTGAATTTTTTTTTAAATACACACGAAATGAATTAACTTATGTTTTTCAAAACAAAATATTTACAATTCAATGGTAATAATCGTCTGACTTAATGACAATATTCTGCAATGACTTTGTTTTTCTCACAATTTGTATGAATAACTTGATTGCAAAGGATTTCTCGTTCATATGGATTGACTTGACTTAAGAATAAATGCATTAAAAAGTGGTTGTTGCCTTTCGTTGTAAGAAATGCCACAAATTATTCGCTATTCTCTGTTTTATGGCTATAATTACACTATCAGTCACTCGATTCCCTGTTAACATTATTACACTGCAATTTACCAACAGATATACACGAGAATTGTATGAATAATATACACACAAAACCAATGACACAAACACTACATTCACTGGAGTATAGGCACACAGTCTGCCAAACGAGAAACACAATTAAAATATTTTATTTGTATTTATGTTATATTATGTTATTATGAATTTTTCAAATGAATAAAATGTTTTTATCGATTAGTAATTTTCAATTGAATTTTTAAAAAAATACACACGAAATGAATTAACTTATGTTTTTCAAAACAAAATATTTACAATTCAATGGTAATAATCGCGACTGAATTACTGTTATAAGACGTTACTGAAACAAAAAGAGTGTTAAACATACTTATTGAACTAACGTTTCCTAAAGAGCAAGTATACCTAACTGAACTGAATTCTTATTTACGTAATTTTTCACCAAAATCATTATTATTGGTATTGAGAGAAACAACTTTGAGCTATTATTGTGAAGTACTTATCAATTATAATAATATTAATCACAGTTTATAAGTTTATCAGTGATTATAGTTTTCACTGATTCTATAATTCACTCAAATGTATGTGAATTTCAGTAAAGTGTTTGACTCCCTCTGTACTCCTCATGAGTCCTGTCTATATCACTACAAATACAAGTCTCTCTCTATTTCCACAGTCAGTGCCGATAATCTCATTGCAATTTGCAATTGACGTCAATTTTGACCGATTTTTAAATACAAATAAATATAAATACACACTATTTCCAGTTTGAGCATTGAAATACATTTGAAATANTTCTCATAGCATTTCAAGTGATATAAACAAAACATATTTTTCCCACTCAATAATATACCAGAAAAACTTAATTGTCATTTAAATTCACTCAATCCACACGTTTGTGCTAATATATCGAGTCATAGTCTATCTATTATATAACACTTGTTATCATAAGTTTCATGAATAACTGAATTTCATTGGGAAGTGTGTCTCGCAATAGATATCCTAATATATACGGCATAATAATAATATAATCAGCGATTTATCGTTGGTATTGACAATAAGTGCTACAAATACGAGATACTCGGCTGACATGTCAATGATGTCCATTGAAATGAATACGTCAGGTATGGCCACAATCGGCACACAGTTCCCACCCGTCACCTACAGCTCATCGTTTGTCACATTCATCATCAATGTAAATATCCTCTCAATTTTTCTCTCTGTCTCTGCCATTAAATCAATATTTTGTCACTAATTGTCTCAAAATTTATTTGTATACCACTTATGATACCATAAGTGATCATTCGGTTAGATATGAATTCAACAAACAATTGGTTTAATTCTGTTATCTATTCATACATTTACACTAATATTCCTATTAATGATCCATTATTTCCATACAATTCCATACATTGATAGTTAGACTGCAAATATATTTCGTTTAATAATTGATGTTTCAATTTTATAACATATGAATTGCGAGAGAATATGGCAAACCGGATTCATTGGATAACCAGTGCAGCCCTTAAACCATATGTATGCACCTTGCTCAATTTATGGTGCTATAAATAGCCAATTTCTTACGTATGACAAACCTAATGAATTATTGGTTACACGTATTGTTTTGATTCAATTTATGAGGCATTAAAACCATATTTTTCAAATTAGGCGATCATTAATTATGATTAATAATTGGCACAACAGTTTTGATGATTACATTATAAAAATAGCTTTATTTGCGCTGAAATTAAATACGAAATTTCCTTTTATTAAAAATAAGTTATTTGTTTCTAAAATTAATAAATCATTTAATTGTCTACTGGACACGTTTTTCGCATTTAAGTAAATAAATAGATTTAATTATTATTTTCCACATTTATATTTCGCGTATTTTTATCCTTCTTTCGCCGATACATTCATACATTGTTTTCCTCAATTAATATTATCACTAATTTTTGAAACATAAATCTCATTAATTAACCAATCGTTCGCATGATGAGTACATTTGTAGTACAAATGCCCTGTCAATTGTTTGGTCCACACATTTGAACTAAACTATTACCGTATATCGCATGTTATTACGAGAATAGATTTTTAATGGAAATTTTAAACACGAATTCAGAAAAATAAGTTTTTATGTCATTTTATGTCATTTTATGTAACTTTAATGCGAATTATACGCTAATGAGATGTGAGATTTTAAATATTTAAAGCCAAATAAATTACAATCACATGTTATATGCACTTTTATAAGTTCATGCAAATGTTTTAATTAAAGTGCTAGGTACTGTGATTTCTTATTAAATTTAGGTGCAAATATTATTGTAATTAGTTTGCAAATGCCTGTACACTGTATTCAATTGGATTCCTAATTGTTATTAATATTCCCCTTTTATGGTCACTATTCAGTGCACTATATATTAAAATACTGTTAAAGGATTTATAGCTAATCAGTGATTAGTAATCACTTTTAAGTTAATTGTTAAAACTTGATAATAGTGTTTATGGCAACGATTCAAATATTACATGAATCGTATTGAATTGAATGTCTTGTGAGTAAAATTGTTAACTAAACATGACTTTTCGTTCTATAAAGTGTTAACTAAGGGAGAATAACGTATTAAAGTTTTGTAAACGATTTAATAACAGTTTTAAAAGGAGTTTACATTAGAACTTTTAATAAAAATTTTCATTCATTTAGAAGTGCATACAAAAAACTATTTAATAAAACTTTTTATTTTTCAAACTCCATACAGTATACGCTATTTGAAATTAATTTACTATAAATAAACTTTTTTGAAACTAAAGTATAAAATATCATATAGTATCGTAAAAATATTCCATATTTGCCAAACAAACTGATAAATAAAAGTAAATTTAAGTCATAATACAATCAGTAACTCGTATATCATATATCAATCATAGGTTCAATAAGATTTCAATTGGAGAGACAAAAGTCATATCATAATACTTTTTATGTGAACCTTTTTGAATCCGATACCCAAAGTGTATTATTTGTTATTTTGCTAATCAATAGAGTTTGCGAGAGATAAGTGCAAAAAGTATTTTGAAAAGTATTTTTGATTTGATCTGATCTGAATATTCTAGGTCTAATTTCTACACTACAATCAAGTGATTCAATTATTTCATGAATTGAATGATAGACTCAAATATCTACTGACGAGAAGGCCATTAGTTTTCCACTTGTATTCAATTGATTTTAGTCGAGTGTCGGACCCGATAAACACCGAAAATCAATACAATTACTAATCAATTGCCTTTTTTTCTTTAAAGTACTTGTTATTTAACTCAACATAAGTTCTTAATTATCTGATATTTATATAATTCATTTGAAATACAATCTCCAAGAATCCTTAAATTTATGACTACAATTGTCTATAAATTATACGTTTAGCAGATATTTGATAATCTTGTTTATATTTCTGTTATTTCGCTGATTAGACTTTAATTTATGATATTTACATAAAAATATATGTCTTTCGGATTAAATGTTTTCTGTATTATTTCTTTATTCAATGTTTTATTGTTAAAATTTTGTTTTTATTCAATGATTCTTATATTTTTTTGTCAATCTTATTGACTAAAAATAGTAATCTTAAGATTAATAGTGAGCCAAACAATACCATCCATTATGCAATTTAATTAGAAATTTGTTTAGAGATTAAAAACAAATTAATCATTTTATTATTATTATTATTATTATTATTATTATTGTGTGTGTGTGTATAAATAATTTTCTTATTATTAAATATTTAAAAATAACTTCTTGTCGTCAAATATATATAATTTCTTAAATGCAAAATTCTTTTTAAAACACATGAATAACTATTACATGAACATTTACTATTTTTTAATAATCATGCAATAAATTAATTTATTATTAGTACTACATTTATCATTAGGTAATCACATATTACACAATACAATAGAATTTGATTTCTCATATAAATGTCAAAACATTGCTAATAACAGATAATCTTGAAAATGATTAATTTAAATGATTTTAAAACTCGTTTTTCACAGAATATTACCCCCTTGATTGCATTTAATTTGCAATTATTATAAAAAATTGTAATTTTAAAAATGTAATCTGTATTTATATTGTGTTTGTGATCTCAAAAATATACCTGTGTATATATCTGTGGGAAAATATATTATTCGGTGAGATATCTATCCTTCAGAGACTCGTATTTTCCAATCGATTAAAATACATTGAAATGCATTTAGAAATCTAATTAAAAAACACATTTTTCGATTCAAAGGTACAAACAATCGGAATATCAATATTTATAACTAAGTGAGCAGTCAATTCTTTTCAACACAAAAAGCTTTTATACTTAAGTAACTTTTGTTTAACTTCCTTTATTTACAAATCAAGTAAATTGAAGTGACATCTAGACTAACCCTTAGGCTGTGGCTTTCAAAAAAGTAATGCAAATTCATGTACCGATAAATGCATAACAGAATTGAGAGAATTTTATTTATAATAAACATCACATGATATGTTCATTTCATAAGACATCTAATAATTCTCGTGTGAATACATGAATCGTTTATTTTTTGCGGCAAAAATTTGTTTCGTTTTATATTTTTGTTTTGAATATGATTTGCATTATTTTCTTTTGATATTTCTTTTTGATTAGTTTACACATCAAATAACTTATCAAACATTTCCATTTGACGCGATGTTTAAGTATAAAACAAAAATTTTCATCAATGATTGCCATTAATTTAGTCTTTAAGACCCGGTATATGTATGATAACTACCATTTGGCATGAAATTCAGTTCAAGTGTTTGATTTATAAGAAGTGGTATACATAGGTTTAACCTTAGAGTTAATGTTTATTTTATACAAATAAATACACGGTATTAGTACCGGAGCCTTGCATTACCTGGTGTTTGAATGGTATGGCAAACAAACTACAAGTGCCAGAACCCAACGAATTCTTTGTGGAAATAACTTTAATACTAGTTATTAATGGTTTTGTTATAAAGGATATACAGTACTCTTTTCAATCATCAATGTAGTCGTTAGCATAGGGATAGACCCACTCGCGTATCTGGGAATTAGAGGCATAGGCTCTGAATGTTGTACCTGTTTTGGTGGGCAAACAATTTTACTATTTCAAATGTATTTCAATGCTCAAACTGGAAATAGTGTGTATTTATATTTATTTGTATTTAAAAATCGGTCAAAATTGACGTCAATTGCAAATTGCAATGAGATTATCGGCACTGACTGTGGAAATAGAGAGAGACTTGTATTTGTAGTGATATAGACAGGACTCACGAGGAGTACAGAGGGAGTCAAACACTTTACTGAAATTCACATACATTT